CGTCACGATGACGTCATCAGTAGATTTTTTAACTATTTTTTTAATATTGCCAATTTATTCTGCTTACAAAATTTAACACTTTCATTAATTCGATTGTTTTCAAACTTTGTACGGACTAAAACCGTAATAAAATAATGAGCACTGCCGAATATTGTTACAATGACGTATTCATTAGACATGTGACGTCATCGTTTGTATATTTTAAGCCCCTATATCTCATCAACAGTGATTTAGATTGGGTTGAAACTTGGTATGGGGGCAGGCCGGGATGTGTTACAAATAAATATTGAGCTGACGTCATAATGACGTCATCTTGTGATATATATATATTTTATATATGACAAATGCAATATGCCAAAATCAAATTTCCATTTGAATGAGGTTTGTTAGACAAAACGTAAATGCACACAGTTTTGCACAAAATCAGGAAAACATGACCTCAATTTGAAAAAAAAAACATAATGCGGAAAAGCCCTATGTTCTGTTGCAAACAGACATAGACCTCTAGGTTTTTTTTGGCTTCTTCTTTTTGTCGCCTAAACCCCATAGACTTTGTACACGTTTTTTTTGCCCACCACTTTTGGCATTAATCTTTGTCATACATCATTCAAAGTTAGCATAAGCATAGCCCCTTTAGCAAAGATGTGTCCCGAATATTGACGTCATGGTGACGTCATCGACTAATTTATTATAGATTTTTGAATATTTAATTTTTCCCATAGACTTTGTACACAGAAATTAAAAAATAATTGTCGATTTTCAAAGGGCATTTTTGACTCTTTGCCAGTAATTCATTTACACCAATCTTTGTCCAAGCAAAGACCCTAATTCAAACAACATTGTGGCATGATAACGTCATGATGACGTCATCCTGTGTTTATTTATAGGCAATTAAATTGTGACACTTTTAATATTTAAAAAGGCATAAGAAATCAACCGTACGCGTCCGCAGCATTCTGTTGCCGGCAAGTGGTAGAGCAGGTTAAGGTCTTCATTTCATTTAGTGTGCGTGCAATCACGTGACCCTTGCTTCCGGTCAAAAAAGGCCCAAACCGGAAGTGGCTTATTATTTGAAAATGGTAATAGATAGGAACTTGCTTTTAACGGTTTTAGTCTATTGGCCGATAGAATTCTTCAAATCATCTACCGATGACGTCATGCAATCTTCGAGCGCCCTCTAGCGACAGGTTGAAAATTAGCAAAAATGTATTTTGAATAGATGTCTGTGGCGAAGTTTGTCGGAATCGCCTAAATATTGGTGTATATAATGACCTTGACCCACTTAAGATGTGTGCGAAGTTTTAGGCAAATGACGTCCTCAGACTGGAAGTTATAATAAAAAGACCCTTTTTCATTTGAAAATTCCTGAAAAATCAACCATGGCAGTTTTTATATTTGTTTTACTTTAATAATCGATTTAAGGGTAGGTCTAAAACATTTCAAAGCTTCGAGGCAATAAGCGAACTCGGACATGCCCTGCGCACGCTTAAAACTTCAGGCCGACAATACCTCTGCTCTGAAACATGCACAGAACGTCTATATGAACATACACGTATGTTACGCACATACATGTACATCGTATGTCAGTCAGCCTGCAGAGCACGTGTTGTCGAGGTCAAATCCTGTCCACATCACCGTGACCGTTTTAGCCGATTTTCGGCTAACTTTGACAGATTTTATGTTCATGCATGCGCATAGTCAGGGACGTATAATACAAAATCATAATGCCGAAAAGCCCTATGTTACGTTTTTGTAGGTGCAGTTTTTCTGCAGTGGGATTTTCCACAAGTCTTTTCCTATACAACACTGATATCTTACTGAGTAGTTCTGAACTTCAGCCGAGAATTACTATGAGAAGGAAAGAGAAATCCTATTTTTTTTCTCGCGCTGTCATTCGATTGAACATATTCCTAAGGGTCAGAATATCAAGTAATATTTCATAAAAATGTTTCAGTTCAAAGGCAAATTACAAATTTGACGGTGCAATGTTTCTGCAGTGGTTTTTTTTTTAGCCCGTTAACTTTGTACACGTGTTAGCCCATTGACTTGTACACGTTTTCAAGCCACCATTTCTATAACTTGGCGATCTGGAATCGTCATCAATGTTACAGCCAAGGAAGACCCTCATACAAAATTTATGCCAAGACTATGACCTTATGATGACGCCATCACCTAATTTGTTTTATTGATTTTTAAAAATTTACGTGCATATTATGAAGTCCTATATCTACAGAACTGTGAGTCTGATTGGGTTGAAACTTGGTATGTGGCTAGACCGGGATGTGTTATAGGTAAAAAAAAAATAGGTGGTCGAGACCTGAACATGATTTTTGCGGGAATTGATAGAATTATCGAGGGTCTTCATTTGTTAAATATGTGCAAATAAATCACGTGACCCTTTCTTCTGGTTGAAACCGGAAGTGCCTTGTAATTGAAAATTGGTGAAAGACGCGAACTTGCTTTCAACGATGTTTGCTCTGTCTAAGTTATTCTTTACCATAATATTACAGTAATTGATGAAACTTTATGTGACGTCATCATGACGTCATCACGTGACATGTGACGTCATAATTCAAAGCCCTATGAGAATGGAATCACATATTACATGCCACTATTTATTATAAACAGAACTACACATCCTTTGTTGATGGAACACATGTCACGTGTCACAAAAAGCTACCGAAACAGCCCTATGTTTGTCCACAAACATATGTGTAGTTGAATATTTTTAACTTTTAAACTGAGGTTTTATCGTCGGTGATGTTTGAAGATAATTGTGACGACGATTCTTGAAATCGCATTTTTGGACGAAAGAGGTTTTAGGGTCATTGTGTTTAAATGGTGATATTCTTTCAACGGAATGAGCAATTTCAGTATTTTTTTATACGGTGTACACTTTATTTAACTATAATATGATTTTTAAGTTCGTTGTTTACCAAATGGTTTTGTTAAAGGCCTCATAAAATAATCGGCTTACAAGAAAGTCCCATACCTAATTTGTAAGATCTTTCCCTAAACTGGATTTGTTACCACCCACATTCATGTATCATAACCTGGTCTATATAATACTGTAACAAAGTTTGTTCAAGCATTTTAGGTCATATTATTTGCTTAATATTAGTGTGAATTTACCTCACCTCACCTAAATTTTGGGAATATTGTAACAGAATATCATAAGGGAACACTTAAGGCAGTTGGTATTCTTTTATTTTATCAACGTTGGGCAGAATACAACCCATTTGCCCAATTTTTTTTTTTAGTTTATATAACAAAAATGATATCATATCATATCTAGGCTTGAATTCAAGTCCGACGGCAATTGGTCGGATGTTGCTTGCAGCGCCACGATATGGACACGAGTGTACCGCGCATACCGGCAGCTATGATGGTATTGTGCAGTAGTGTACCGCAGGTCCGCACGAACTCACATGAACGGTGGCGCATCCTAGACCCTATGCCTTTTTTTTTGAGAACCTCCCTGTATCATCCAAAGTTGTGCACGAGAATCTAATGAAAATATCTTGTTTTCAGAGAATATAAAAGTCCCATGTATACAACAAAATAGCTGCGCGGCTCTATCGTCCTCTGTCGGACAAAATACTTGAAAACATCCAATTGCTTTTTAAGGATGTGGTTGAATGTATTTAATATGTGCTTTGACGTTGTCGCGTCTGATTCTTAATGCCAAATTCACCTCACATTAACATGTATGATGGTTGATATTGTCAAAAAAGGTAGCCCCCTATATTCGTCTCAAATACTGGACTTCATCCCTATTATAAGGCCACAACAATGCGTGCTGAATTTCCTGGAAAGTTTTGTTTCCCGAATTTGAGTCTAGATTGCTCTCCCACTCGATATTTACTTGGATTTTTTTCTTCAAATTCCCTACTTCTAGGGGTATAGTTATAATTTAATTTTGAGAGTAAGAGTAAGAAAAATAAGAAACCAAAATGGAATGACCCATTTCTTTAAATGAAGTTCTACATGTAGCACTTTCGAAAGATAAAAGCCCAATTAATAAGCTTTCTTTTAGTACATAAATCATTCAATCACTCATGTACTTTTCAAGTTACAGAATTTCTAGCACAAACACCATTTAAGGGTTTTGTCCACGGATCACCAAAAAAAGGTAAGGTTTCTTTCAGCAAAACGAAAACATTTTTTTAGGGATGTATGTGAATTGTTTTTGTTTTGCCGAAAGAACCCTTATCTTTTGTGTGATCAGTGAAGAGAGCTTTAAAATGGTGTTTGTGTTTACAGTTAACTTGAAAAGTACATTACCGAATGGAATTATTCTTTTACTAAAAGAGAGCTAATTATTAATTGGGCTTTCATATTCTAGATTTTGCAAGTGCTACATGCAGAACTTAATTGCATTCAATGCATTCAATGCATAAACAAAGTGTGTCAAAGGAAACCCCTAGCTGTGCATTCTGTCTATCGGTTGAACACACGACTACTCTATTTCAGTACATAAAAATTGAGACCCAGCACTTGCAATATCTAGAATCTGAAATAATAATAATAATAATAATAAACCTCCTAAAGTATTGAGGATCTCAGCTTTGCCTTCATAAATTTGATAAGATAGAGTGAGTGAAATTAACCATGTTGATTTTCTGTACTCGTTGCCTCAGTCCGAGAGGAACAGTGCAAGCGGTGGGAACCCGTTTGCCAAAAGTATTAGTCAGATTTGACTAGAAACCAATTAAATTTGACTCGCCATTCAGGGTCAGCTGAGTGCAACTGAAAATCAGTAACTGACTAGATATTTGCAGTCAGTATTATTGACTTTGGAAAAATAGTTATGCAAATAACTGAAATTGGAGTCGAACACAACTACTTTTTTCTATTCATAGTATGAAACTTTGCATTTTAAACTAAATTCCTAGTCAATTTTCAATAACTAGGAAAACCAGTGAATATTTTAACTAAGTTGTTTTTAGAGTGCCGGATCAAACTATAATTTTGACTGTTGATTCATTATTTCTCAGCTGATGCTCTAAGCATCGTCTTTCTCAATTCTGGACTACGAAGCAACACAGTATGGATGGACAATCACAGGCTGCTGTCAGGGAGGGGGGCACTTGGGATAAAGCAGGTCCTAGCAGGCCAAAAAGAGCAAAACCGACCCCTCAAGAATCTGGAGGTATGTATGCTTCAATTTCATTCAACTTTCCCCCGGCTTTTTTCGTAAATCTAAAGACCGAGTTTTTTGGGGGATTCAGATCGGAATGAAAATTCAAAATCCAGGTCCAAGTGTCGGTAAAAATGACACTTTTCCGGGTCAAATTGACACTTTCCGAGTCAATTCACACATCTTTGACTCATTTTCCAGGTCATCTGACCTGGAAATTGGTCAGGCCCTATAGGACTGGATTGCGGGCCATTTAAAAGTAGCGGATCTAGGGTGGGGTGGGGAGGTCGCAATCCCCTCTCCCCCTCTTAAAGTACACAATCGATCTAAAGAAGAAAAATCGAGCAGCCACTTGTTGAGATGGAAATACGTGTAATGTAGCAAGGAGAATATAAGAAGCAGGCCTTATGTGTGTATTGTCTGAGTGCTGCTGATCTGCTGAATAAAACTTAATGTAGCTTGACCATGTTGCAACGGATATAGAGTGACTTGTGGGCTTCGTGATACAGCCAACATGGGGAGACACTTTCAAGAATACCATGGGAAGGGACATCTTATCTTAAACTACAATGATTTTCTTTTACAAGGGGAGCTACTCCTATGTTAAATACACTACAATGATGAACAAGTAAAATAAAACTAGACTCTGCCATAATTTCACCAAGTATGAGAAGACACAGACTCAGGAATCAAACACAGACTCAGGGATCAAACCATAAGTAAGTAAGAACCCAATAACTAAATGGCAACTAAAAACCTGTGTACGCTCGCGCGTGTCAGGAAATAAGCCACTGTATAGCAACTCAGAAGTGAATATAGTCGTTTTTATGAATGACAAATGTATCAAACCGCAGAATGGTGCATAACAAAATTTAACAAATGTACACAGACGTTAGATGCACACTATATACGGCTGTATAATTGCATGTGTGGCCTTTTTGGTCTACCCAAGTACCAATGTTTATAGGCCCTACATTGTAATGCTTTCATTTGCCCAAAATGTGTCCACAGAACCAATGATTCACTCTCTCTCTCTCTTCAACTTGTTATGAATCTGAACAGCGAAGAAAATAAACATAAGTACTTTATTGATAGATAAAGTGTTGAGGGGAAACTGGGGGGGGGGGAACTTGGGGGGGGGAAGAAACAACTGGGGGTGGGGGTGGCAAATGCCCTCATGCCCCCCCCCCCCCCCCCGTAGCGCCGTCACTGCTCCTATAGTTATCGTACTTAGGCTACATCGGCAAGTTATTAAACTCAGGTCTCTAAATATGGGCGACTGATCTTCGTGACGATCGTAGCTCAGGCACAGTTTAGTGGACCAGCCAAAGTGAAATATTCCCCTTTGGATGGAATGTTTTGGTAATAGCGGGCAAACATGTCAGATCAATCAGTCAAAGGAAGGAGAAGAAAATGTAGGTGTATGCCACCCTTACTTTTGACCCCGGAAGATACATAATTTGCATAAATTGCTAATCCCTGCCGTGTAACATATTTATTCCCATATTTGGGTATATTATTGATTTTCTTATTTTTTAAAAACTTTATTTTGGTGATTCTTCTTACTCACCCTTTACTTAAAAAAACATTTTCTTAAGCATATAAGTGACTGAATAATTATGAAGACACAGTAACGATCCAAAATGGCAACTACTATACTAAAAATTGTGCCCATTTAATGTCTCCAGATCTAGATATCATCAAGTAGTCTTGGCAAACCTCAGTATTGATGAGCTTTGCATTCACCAAGTTGCTTACTGGCACAGTAACCACATGAAAGCCTTAAGGAAAATCATCTGAACAATGATAATATTGTGATGTTAAGCTTAGTAAACAAAACGGGGAAAAACATGTTGGATGTCCGTAAACTGGGCTTGGGCGAAGGGTCGCCTAACGCGGAGAGACTTGAATAAGTTCAAGGACATTCCCGACATTATTGGAAAGACAATTTACGGATAGAAAACATTAATACATTGACATAATTATTGCTAGCCTTATTTCGTAAATAATTAATTAATCAATAATCATGTCTTCACTTGTCTTCACTAGATTTTATCTAGACCGGATGACAGCTATTACCAATAAATGCCGTCGCAAGGGGGGGGGGGGGGCTTTCCCCCGCCGTACGCGAATTTTCTTTGTCCAAACGACATCCGCATACATGGTTATTTAGCGCCCTCTACGATACTTTTATGATACTTAAGCAGGTATATAATTATTTATGGGGCCGATAGCTCATAGCTCAGTCGATACAGGGTCGTGATTTTTGCACCGTGAGGTTGCGAGTTCAAAACACGGTTTTGCACCTAAATTGTTTTCTTTCCTCACCTGAGGCTTCGGAGTATTATTTTTAAAGGAAAATAAAGTCCGAATTTAAAACGTTAAAATTCTTTTCTTTTTTCCAATTTTATATTTTCTTCTCATGTTTTTAGAAAAATTATGTCCAAATCGCCATAGCGTATACCCATATGCGGATGTCGTTTGGGAGAAAAACAAAATCGCCCCCGGACAAGCAAAAACAAAAATAAAACAAAACAAAAAGAGGCGCGAAATCATATTGTTGTTAATTTAATGGGTTTTTTTTGGGGGGGGGATGTCCCTGACGACCCTTGAAAAAATGATCAATCCGGAAAATGTTGGCAAATATAGGGATTTTGTGGGGTAAAAAATTGCTTGCCCCCTTCTAGAAAAATTCCTGGCTACACCCTTGGCCGTTAAATTATTTTCCAGGAAACTCCTGGCCTACTAGTTTGATCCCGAGAAGTCAGTCGCCGACTGATTTTTGTCCTCGTATAGTCAACCTGCAGGCGGCTTAACGGCAGTTTGTGTAATTAGTTCCGCTTATAATCATCCGGTTTTATTAACAATTTCTTTAAAACCTTGCAGCACTTGGATCAAATATCGAAATTTATATTTTAAGTTTTTGGCAGCAAAACTGTGAGGTCGGCAATTTGGCACAAACAATCCTTGTAGCTCGGGCTTTTTTGTTTGTTCAGTGGTGCCTAATGGGCGTGAATCATCTATAATACTGCTAAGTAGGCCTATTTCTATCATTCTCTTGCGCAGAAACATGTTTAGATGACAGAGCTCTGAACGAGGTCGCTTGGAGACTTGGCTGTGATTGGCCAACATTGGCAGTTGCGCAGCTTCGCTTTACGGACACAGAGGTTAAGATCATCGAGGAAGATTACCAAAACGATACCATAAGGCAAGGTCTGGAAATGCTTGTGAAATGGAAACAGCGCCAGTCCACCAGTGATGAACAGCAGATGACCACGTTGTGCACAGCATTGAAGAACGCAAGAAGGGCAGATATTGCCGAATTTCTTCGTCACGGTAAATGCATGTCTCTGCTCATTGTATGTGTAATGTGAAGAGGAATTTAATGATAGACGTTACTCCCAGATATTGAATATATATGTGTTCAGTGACATTGCCGAAAAAATGTTAAAAGTAAGGTATTTGCTCTGGATTGCATGTCTATGATTATATGTTTTAATGCCATTGAACCGCAACAAATGATTTATTGCAACCTTTTTTTTCTTTGAAAATAAGCAACGAAGGAAAAAAGGATAAAAAACAACTTTGAAATCGATGTGTTAATGGCATACCTGTTTACATTCCTTTTATATTTCACTTGGTAGATGTTCACAATTCAAAGAGAGCACTGAGTGAGGTGTTTATTTATGATTTCTTTATTGCTAAAGACCTCCCTAAAAACAGCAACAACCTTAAAGTTGTGTTCCCCGTGCTCAACAACTTCTTCAACAATTTCGTTTCTATTAATACCTTTCCAACAATTATGTTTTATTCCAACAAAAACCCTCTTATCCCCCTTTGTGGACGACTGTATTCCTCTAACGAAACATGTTTTGCTTCGGGTACAAGCAGATCTGCTTTGGGAGCAGACTGGCTCCCGGTCCGTACACTATCGATTCTGATTATGGGCCGGGAACCAGCTTTACCCCCATGGGACTGGCATTATTGTCTTGCAGCCAATCATTCTAAATTGTAAAGAAATAATTCAATAACTAAAAATGCACCGATTTCTTTTTGGTCGATGTCTCATTGAAAAGTGAATAACTTTTTTATTGCTTGTAAAAGAGTAATTTAATTAAACGGAATCTGTTTCCCCGAGATTAAACTCGAAAAAGCGCAGGGAGAACAATTTTAACCTGGGATGACTATACGTGGTTTTACACGACACAAATAAGCATATTGTTCATTGTTCATTTGCAAAGTTTGTAGAAGCAGAATTGAATAATCGAGTACAACTTAAGTTAAAATTCGTCTGTCACCAAAAGAACTAATTATTTCCATTGCACGATAATGAAACATTCATTGTCTGTTTTAATCAACGCCTAAATGAATCCTCGTCCTGTGACTGTTAATTTATAAACTGCTACTATGAATGTTCAGCATCAGGGCCATCAGAGCTGTGTTATAGCGTAACCAAGAGTGTGACCGTGCACTAGTGGTTTTACGGTGGAATTGAACTTCTAGGTTTTTTTTTCTCGACACGATCGCGCTTGTACGTTGCGATGAATAATTCAATGACTCGTGACCACCGACCCACCAATCAGATGACGGGGATTTACTAAGCCATTTTAACAATGCCACATATCTTTTGATCGAAGGGACCTTGCTGTGTGTGTTTTGATATACATTGTTTTTCTAATTTCCCTTTTAATAAATGGAAAGATCAAATTAATCTTTTTGTTTTGTTTCTCATACTGTATTAGATACGTCACACGCCCAGGAGACTGCTGAATCGGGTACGTATTGGTGAATTTGGCAACCCTCAAAGTCTCAAAACATCACCATACTGGAAAAAAATGTGATGTAATGTGGTTTTCTATACTTAATGGTTTAAAGTTCAACAATTACCGGAAGGTTTTGCAGGGCTTTAATGGAAGCAGAGCTCAGCCACAGTTACTTTACAATAGTGTTTCAATAAAATGAGGTATTTGTAGCAAATTACCAAACCTCTGAAATTTATGAAGCTATAAAACATCCCTTTTTGGTAAAAAAAAACCGCACTATTTTAAACATTTTCAATGTTTCATACTTTTCCTGACGATTGGCTGTGCTGGATTTCTACCCAGAAACTGGATCAGATTTGACTTAACGATTTTCGGAGTCAAAACGAGACTTCATAGTAGGCCAGCCAAATGTGGAAAGGTTATCTAGATAATAATTTCATGGCGTTTCTGGGTAATAGCTGGCATCCATGCTAGATCAATTCTTTGAACCATAATAAACAAGATGTGGGTGGATGCCACCGTTAATTTTGACCCAAGACATACCTAATTTGCATAAATCGCTAATATCTGCCGTGTTATATATTTCCCCCCATATATCGTCACCGTTTTCACGAACAGCCACATACTATATATATTATGTTGATTTTGAAGTAAAGTGTTTTCGAGATAATCACAAAAGAAGTTTCTCATATTTTAAAACTGCAAGAAATACTACTTTGCAACAACTTTGTGCAGCAAGAAAACCATCACACGATTCTACGTGAGCTGAAGTTTTACATAAACCCGGTAATAAGACTTAATAAAGCAGTTAATTAGTGGAAATTAATTAGTAAAGATATGTGGCTCTTTGTGAAAACGCAAATTCACGTTTCCGACATATTGGCCCTTTCTGTTCAACGTGTATTTCCATAGGCGCGCGTGAGTACGCGCGCGCGCCTGAAAATGTAACAAAGATATGTGGCTCTTCGTGAAAACGCAAATCTCATTTGACCTACTTTTACGTATTTCCGTGCAATGGGTTTTGTACGCGTTCAAAGGGCAAAAATGTATTTGGCTCTTCGTGAAAACGCAAAATGCAGTTATCGAGATTTCTGCCCCTTGCAACATTAATGTAACTTAGAAATTAATGATGTTTTGCTTACAGAAACATGTCAAAATGGTTAAGTACATTGTTTTAATGCGAAATATCGAAAAAAATCAAAATCGAAAAAAATTGTAATTTTGGATATATGTGGCTCTTCGTGAAAACGGTGACGATATGGGTATATTTGTGATTTTTTTTATTTTTTGAAAATTTAACTTTGGGGGTTCTTGATACACATCCTTACTTTTAAAAACATTTCCTAAAGCATATAAGCAACTGGGTGACTATGAGGACAGAGTAACGATCCAAAATGGCTACAATTATACCAAAAAGTTCCGCGCATGGTAATTGTCTCCAAATATCTTTAGGTAGTCTTGCCAAACCTCAGTACTGATGAGCTTCAAATTCACCAAGTTGCTTACTGGCACATTTACCCCATTAAAACCAAATGGAAACGCATGCGAACAATGATAACTTTGTGATATCTAGCCCAGAAAACAACAAAAGCACATGCTTCGTCAGACCATTTTTTTTTGGGGGGGGGGGGTGACGAAGACCAAATTAGCACACCTCTCGGTGTTGGTAGGTAGCAAGAACTTTTCAGCGACCGAAATCGACAGTTAAACGGTGGATTGACTACATCTGAGTACTTGGGTTGCTGTTTAAAGTGGACAAGAGTCATATCTTTCAATAATGTCGACAGAACGATTTTGTCGACAAAACGTACGATTGGGGGAGGGGGCACCCAAACGCCCTCTGATTAAAAGTCATTTAAAATCTATATGTCAAATGCATTTCTGTGTGAAGCTACAGATGTACAGTCAACACTGTTTCGGGCTCATACATAACTCCACCCAACCTACTCTTGAGTTATAATCATGCACAATTAAATGATTGTGGCCTCATGTATTTTCAATATTGATGCCTCTCACTTGACCAACAGGTCCTGATCATCTGAAGATTCTCCAGCAGCTGCTTGTCAGTTACTACGAAGCCCATGCAGGTTTCATCCCAGAGCTCGTAACGTCTTCCATGTCACCGGCGTTGGATGTTGATAAGTTCTGTGTTCCTTTAGATCTCCATAAGAGTGAGAAGCACACAACGAGTAAAGACGTGAAAATATCAGGGAAAACTAAGAGTTTGAATAGGCCCAAAACAGTGCCGCTGGACACATGGGAGGATATGTATGACAAAAAGAAGGTAAAAGAGAAAATGGTTCTTCTTTCAGGTGGGGCTGGATTTGGCAAATCGACTCTTTGTGTAACAATAGCAAATACTTGGAAAAATCGTGAAGGGTCGAAAGTTGCCGAATTTGAGCTCCTGTTCTTGTTGAAGTTGAGCCAATTCAAGACAAGTTGTGTCATAGATGCAATTTTTGATCAGTTGTTGCAGCACACTGACAAACTGACCAAGTCAGATGTGAAAAAGGTTATCAGTGATAACGAAGATAAGGTCGCATTCTTGATGGATGGGTTGGATGAAATATCAGGCAACATTTTAGAATCTGCCGATGATATGTATACAATCAATGATTTGTTGGAAAACAAGGTACTGCTCAACAGCTGTGTGTTAGTGACAACACGGCCAGACATGGCTCCCAAAGTCATCAAGGGCTACCGAGGCTACGCCACGGTTGAAACGAAGGGCTTTGCATTCGAAAACAGAGATACGTTTATCATCAAACACTTTGCAGACAATATCACATCCGGAAAAGACTTAATTTCTTGGTTGAAATCAAACCAGTCTCTCCAGGAATTGTCAAAGAATCCAATCATTGTACAAATGCTATGTCTTCTTTGGCTGAACAGAACTGATCAATCAAAACAATTGCCAAACAAGTTCACAACTGTGTTTACTGAATTTGCAGACCTTCTTTTTGAACGCCGTTTTAGCTCACTTAGTGGTGCTGATAGGCAGCAAGAAATGGACAAACTCTTGAGTGGACTGGGACAAGTTGCATTAGAAGGGCTTGTAAGCGGGGAAATAGTCAATTTCTCCCCAGAAGATTTCAGTAGGGATGCATCTATCTTGAAGGACGGTTGTCAAATGGGTATCTTGCAGACAGAAACTGCCTCAAGTGGCTGTAAGGGTCACGGTGTTGAAGTGATCACTTTTTTTCACAAGTCTCACCAAGAATACTGCGCAGCACACTACCTTATCAGTCTGCTATATAGTGATGAACAGAGCTTTTGCCAATATATTGATAAAGTCATTGCATTTGGTGTTATGAAAATAGAATTTGTGCTTCGATTTTGCTGCGGTTTATCCGAACAGGCTGCTGATCTCATCCTGAACCGTATCGGACACGGTTACGACAGTCTTGCACGAGTGTGTTTGTTTGAGTCTGGCTCAAAAAGCTTAGCGCTTAAACTACCGAAACCAGATAAGATTTCCTGCGAGGGCCAAGAGAACCTGGTAGCACTGCGTTATTACCTAGAGTCTGGTGTAAGACTAAAAAGGACAGCCTTTGAAATCACGTGCGATGCATATGCCGACCTGCAAGTTCTTGGAGATATTTTTCGACGTTGCAAAAATGACATTCGGAGTATGACCATCGACTGTGTCCTGTCTCATCAAGGTAATGCGATGTTACGGCTTCTTGCGAAAAAGCTTCAAAACGCCGAAAGGGCATTGCTAATCAAAAAACTGATAGAAATAAGGGTTTTTATCTTTGATGAGGATATACATAATTATGCTAAGTGCCTCTCAAAGTGCATTTCCCAATTACCTTATCAATCATGGAATGTCACTGTATCCGGAGAATCGCATAATGACGTGTGCGTCTTAGTGGATTCACTGAAAGGATGTAAGTTACACTGTTTACGTATATTTGATGTCAACATGCACCGTCACGTTGCTGATTTGGGTCCTCTTGTTACTCCATCCTTGGCGAGGTTGGAGCTGGATAACTGTGGACTGGATGATGCTGATGTGGAGGGCGTAGCCAGCCTCCTCCCTGGCGGGCATGGTTTGACAGTTATTGATCTTGAAGACAATGCTTTCAGCTTGGATGCAGTGAAGACTCTTGCAGGTCATTTGCAGGATCTTTCTGAACTGACGTGGTTGTTATTTAAAACCGACGGTCTTGATGACAATAAGGTCGAAAAAGTGCTTCAGGAAATTCTTCCACAGCTGAAAGAAAACAGAAAAGCATTAGGGCCTTTCCATTGCAACTCGTATGAGGAGGTACATCAACTCACACAAGCTCTTCGGAGTGTTGTGGTTCACCCGACCAGCTGGACCAAAATACACTACACCATGTCGGAGCGGTGGAGGGAGGAGCTGAAACTACTTGAGGAATCATTTGGATCATTGGACGAACGGCTCCGTGGTCAAATGAAGCTCACAGTAGATGTTGGTGTTGAGAGTGGTGTTAATGTCGAATGGCTTGCAGGATGTATAAGCCGTCTTTCCTCTCAAGTTAAGAGGTTCAACCTCCACATGACTGGCCGTTCACCATCATATGTCACTGGCCTACTAAATGCACTGACCGAGGAATGCACTTTAAGCGGTCTTAAAGTAGATGGAACTAACATGTGCATGGTCATGTGACTGATATGGCTTAACTTATTTCTCCATCCTTGGAGAAGTTATCCCTGTGTGACTTCGATGATGATAACGCGATATGTTTCCAACAACATATTCAGTTAAAGAGAGCAGTGGAGGTTCTTACTACCTACCTTCAAAGTTTTGAAGCCTGCGCAATTTGAAGCTTTGGAACAGCAATCTCATTCACGACCTTGTAAAATTATGTTAGTGTGGACGATATGTGAACAAAAAGCTGTTATGGTAATGTATACATAACACAGATACTCTGAAACAAAAGTCCATATGACCGCCGAATCAAATCATAACATTGTAAACCAAAACTGGTGAATTAATTTTTCAGAACAAAATTTTAATTAGTTAGAAAAATCAAAGATCAAACCAGTTTTCGCATCACTATAATACCATTGATAACAACAAAGGGTCATGGTATGCTTGAAAACAGCATCTTATGCTTGGAACTTGGAAAGTTATCTGAGCATAAGGAGGACATTCAACTTGATCTTCAGTCTTGGTTATATACTACATACATTGACAAATCTTGGCACAGTCAGTCTTTTTTTCTTTCCCTGTAACTGCTGTCGCCATGTTCACTTCCAAATGGCACCGCGATTTCCTCTTTGATAAATGCTTGATCGATAATGACAATTTTTTTGTGATTATTTTTCTGCTTTTGTTTCTAAAGAAATTATTGTCCAACTAAATCTGCTACGTACATTTGCATGGTTCCTTTTTCCTGCGTTGAAGATTCCGCTTCGGTGCACATAAAACAAAACTCCTATCTTTCATTTTAACAATCAGGTGGCTGATTGTTAAACCAATTTTGGCGAAAATTGTTTACCAATATCCGTCGAGACCAATGCTGATCATTTACAAAATGCATCCTGTACTGTTTACACCCAGACATGAACGCAACTTTCATGACATATTTTTGTTGACAGTTTATAGTTTGGTTCTAACATTAATTGATGCGGTGTTACAGCGTTATAAATGTGTAAACTTTAAACGGTATGAATAAATGAGCTCACTACATCGTTCTGTTAACACGAACATTAAATATTGTCTCACAAGCATATTTTGCTGTCCTTACATATGTCTTGTTACTGATGATCTGATCTTGATACCAAGATGACAGTTCAAACCATGTCATCTTAAAGACTTCTGAAGCTTGGTCGAAATAGTTCTAAGTTCTCTGTGTATGATACTCTACACGATGGGCCACAAGTAACACTGAATATCTAATGAACCTTTGAAAGAAAGAAGAAATACAAATCACAAACAGCAACTTGTAAATAAATTGCATCTTTGACTGTTTTATTACATGATGGAGTATCATCTAAAAGAAGAAGCAGGGTAAAAAGGGGGATACTTATGTAACTATGAGATGTTTAAATTTGATGGACAAACACATTTTCAAAGCTTTCATAATATTGTATTTTAATAACCACGGAGAGAACACAGATAATAAGAGTTTGTTTTAATGTAAATTCATAATTTTATTTCATTGAGGTGCTGCAGTTTTTTTCACTTAAATGATTAAGGTAAGTGATGAAATTCCAACAAGAGCGATGCTACATCTTGGTCAGTAAGGGCTCGTTTTTATTAATAGATTTCAGCAAACTAATCCCAGAAATGCAGACTGAAATCATATTTTTTTTTTACCGATATACACTTATGATCTTGAAAACACCTGTCTGTTTTGAAAGCATAATCATGTCAATTTTGAGGTTTTGTATTCTTTCCTTACATATAGTGTTTTCCTAAATGTGTATATAAGATTTGCTTGAGCATATTATATTTGTGTATCTTGAAAACAAAGTTGATGTTAATAGCATTGTAGAAACAAATTCGTGAAACAACTGGTGCAAGAGAACACTACGTTTTGTATCAAAGTTGTCTGTAAGGTGTTGGCAGCATATTGTAACCGTTCAGTAGTTAGTTTCCGTGTATCCCAAATTTAAACAAAGCTAAAATTAGAATGTTTTTGTTGAAATCGCTATAATGTGGTTTTCTACTTCATCGTCTTCATCTCGTTTTTTGTTGTTGTAATGAGTAAATTTTTATATTAATAATAAAGATCACCATTTTGCCTTGAGCTAGTTTTTATTATACAGACACATTTGTAATTGTTGGCAATCATAACGTAAATCAAAATTGTTTCTATTTCAGGGGCGGATCCGAAATGTGTGTGTGGGGGGTGTTTCATCAGCAAATCATTGCTGAATGTAAACCGGGGTTTTTTTCCGGACACTTGGTTTTGTAAAATCAATTAGGGGGTGGGGGGCTCGTACCATACTGAGGTCCCCCCCCCCCCAGATCCGCGCCTGGTCTTTACTGAATAGGGCACAACAAGATTTAAACATTGATTGAGAAGTTGTTGACATAACAAGATACTCTGAAACAAAACTGTGTTAAGAGTTTAAACAATTTTCTTAACACTGAATTGCAACCATTTTTTCATGCAATTTTTGTCGGATGTCTGTTTCTGACGAAAGCTGGTAAGTATCATAAAGTGAACATTGTAAAAGTAAATATTTACTTATCGGGTTGAAGTCCAATGACCGGCTAAACACACGCAGTTTTTATCAATAGTTTCAGAGGAGCACACTTAAAATATAATTGTGCTTGTTTTTTGCATTGTTGATAAAACTAACAGGCTTTCATACTTTGCAAAAAACAAAAAAAAATCTAAACATGTCTTTGACTGAACATATGAAAAAGTCGGCACAAAAAGTGTTTAAACTCTATGTACTATTTTTAGAGTGGAGAATGGGAAAAAGTGGAACAAACAAGAGTAAGAATTAGAAAATGATTAATAATTTGAAATCAATGGGCAATGATAATTGCTTACATGGGGATTGATAAGGACGATGTTCAAAGCTAGAAGATGGGTAATGAATATTATGTGATGATATCACATGAATGTATTAATTGAGGTCTCTTTCATTGAAGGATTATACAGTTTTGTGGCAAAGATAGAATGAGATTCACTAAAATTTGGTTGTAGAAAAATGTAAAGGAACAACACAGATTGTTATTTTTGATGATATAGATTTGGAAATATTTAGATTTTAGAAAGCTTTCTTGTTTGATTTGTTGAAACACCAAGTGTCTTTTTGCAACACTGATCACATCTCAAGGGATGCTTGCGCAGTGCACAAAAGAACGTGAAAGTATCACGTGACTGCACATCCAATTTGTAAACATATATACATGTATTTAGGTTTATACAGGTAGTTACTGATTCAAGATGGTTCATGTGAACCAGCTTGGAAGCAGACAATTTATCTGAAGATTATTCATATTTGATGTAATCAACCCGTTCATGAATTTCTGTTACAGTTCATAAACCGAGATGTCAGAAATCTTCAATTTTGTGGCAAAGTTCCTTTTTAGAGTAAATAATCCACATGAATTCTTCTAGACTGTGTTGAAACGATTAGATATGCAAGTGTGCCTAACAAATATAAATGGTTTATATTTTTCTGTGTAACCTTGTTAAACTTCCAACGTTGATCTATTTCGCTACAACTCTAGCTAATGATGATGCTTATATTTCGGACATATTTATATTTTTCTATAAACATATGTTTTTCTAATAATTTGCAAGAAATTCGCAACTGAAATAAAAGGACTGAAATTTGTGAAAAGAATTTCATTTACAGTGTTTTATTGTAGCATTTCGTGCTTATTTGATACAGTGAAAAATTGGGGCTTATTGGTAGTTCTAGTCCAAAAAGCACTAATATACTATTTAAAAACTGTAATTTCAATTTTTTAACCAAAAAAAAGGAACCTTATCAGACAAAACACAATGTAAAAAAGACGACATAATAACTGTCATGGTGACCATAGATGAAAATTCGATGTAGATCACTAATTCCATGTCAACAACCCAAAGTAAACAAGAACCCATGATTAATTTTAAAAGGGGCGAAGTTGAAGGGCCGTGACTCCACTAAATCTCAGATCATTAATCAGTTGACAACAGCTGGCAGCTAAGCTCGAAATTTAAACAACTGAGATGACCGGGGACAAATTCCAGGCTTCCTTCCATCACATAGTGGTCCGTTGGCAATTATGTTTTCACAAGCCTTGCCAGCCCTCATTCTAATTGGTCTGGAGACGCCTGTGCTGGAAATAGTAAAGAAAATGTTTCTTTATTACGTTGGAACAAGATCTAGTAGGGAGAATCCCAACTAGGGGTCGTGGTCAATAATTTTCCTTTAGGGATGCGATAATGGAGATAGCAAGATTAATTTTCAGTCCAGTGTTTATGAAATAATTCGTTTGGTATCGTTTCAGTTGTTGAAAGGGAATATTCATAAACACCTGTCCAATACGAATGGGTCTGCGTGGAAATTCGTTTCTTGTTTCGTCTCCTAATGTCTCAAAATAAACAGGGTGCACTCCCCCCCCCCTTTCAAAAAAAAAAAGATTAAACGTTAAAGCGCCCGCTTTTTCACATTTTTTAAATCGCAAATCTCGATACATATTTGACAAGTTTAGTTGAGCAGCTTTTCATCAAGGACAAATATTCTGATCAAATGTTTTTTTTATTATTATATATACATCCTTATAAAATTGCCGGTTTTTCATAATTATCAATAATTAGGAACGGTACATTTTTGTTTGTGATTCTTGGAATGAACGTCAACGCAACGTATTTTTTTCGGCTTCTAACATTGCTCTATATTCCTTCTGACCTATCAACTACTTAAAATGCTTACAAATAAATTATTTGTTCATCCATATTTTAATAACGCATCCATATCTTCTGAAGAGAATCACACCGGAGAAAAGCACTGTGGTCACTCGGCAACCATTTATTCGCTTGAAACAGTCCAACAAGCATGGTTTAACAATCACATGTACAATTTACCTGCTACCAGTTCTAATAAATGACAGGTCCATGTAACTACCAGCATTGCTAAATAAATTCCCATAGTTACCACTTACATGCTAACGGTTATAACATTCCAATACTACGGCTATCCCTACACCTA